TAAGTTTACCCTGACTCAAAATAAAATACTGACTAAAATTAACAATGCAACTTATAATGATTTTCCAAAATTCTATACCTTCCAAAGGGCCATAGAAATAGGCCTCAGCTCCAGGCATTCAATTATGGTCTTCCTTTCCTCAAGCCATTGGACCACAAGGTAATGTACACATAATGCTAGCAAAGTAAACTGAGACCCAACTAAGCCTAGTGATTGGCTATACAAAAAAGGAAAACTGGTTCCAGGGCCCAGATCACTCACTTCAAATCAGGTACCCAACTAGGTCACTTAAAAACATAGTAATTAAAAAAGAATGACTTTGAAAGAAAGTTCCACTGACAAGATTACAATCCAAAGCCCTTCTTTTTGGTTCAAGCTCGTACACATCATCTTGGAGTATAAAAAGCAGTATGTTTCAAGAATTGGTTTATACTGCAGCATAAGTATTAGCAGCTAGAAATAAGAAAGTGGTTCAGGCTAACTGACAAAATATTACCAGGTTCTCAACAAGTCAAGGGTGATTTAACTTAATTGTTGCTTGGAAGATTGACTATAAGACCCTCAAAGTTATGTTAAATTTTGGCATTCTAAGATAAGCCCACAGGGTGACTTGTACTATCATCTGATTTGGGGTCAAGTAGCAGCAAGGTTGAAGGATCCCTATGGGCTGATGATGAGACCATAATGAAGGAAAAAAAGATCTCCCTCCAATTAGTCCAGTGATGTGTTTGATAATGTAATTACTAAGCATGTTCACTGTGAGAAAACATTAAGATAGATCATGAGAATGAAAATGAAGTCTAATAGTGCCATTTCAAATTCTAATATAGGGGAATGGAATCTCTGTAATGCAATGGAAAGAACTTTCCCTACTAATGATAGCATTAATTCACAAAGATGACATAGGTAATTAAGACTAGAGGCTTGTGACTACTAGAAGTCACAATGATAGAAATCACTAGAAGCTTGGATGAATCAACAAGGAATAGTGTATCAAAAGCTTTTCTAAATAAGTAAAATGCTGTTGCCATCAGATTGGAATGGGAACTAGGTCCTTGAATACTATCTTTTTAGTAGCCAAAGCTTTCACTTTTCTGTTTGTGCCATATCCCAGAAAGAATAGGATTAAGATTCAAGACAGAAAGAATGGGATTAAGATCCACAGAGAATGATAACATAAACAGTGGCAGAATTGGCCCTTCTACAGACACAGCCATAAAGTGACCAAAAATTACAAATAAGCTTCTTTCCAAAATCCTATAATTTAATCCAAAATTTATAGCAGCCAAACCAAATTTACTGTCAGTGAGTCTAATGCAATTTAGCATGACCCTATATGGGTTTCGGCAACTGTAAATCTGTACAAATGCATAAGTCTCATTTCTCTCCTGCTGGTGGGTTTGAACCACCAAACTTGCAGTTAGCAGGTCAATGTCTAATCCACAGCACCATCAAGGATCCATTAACGAAGAAAGGGCTACTGATATCCAATACAGGAGCACTTAGGTGATTTCACTCATCAGCTTCCAAACCTCATTCCTCAGCATATATCAGTAGTGGCCTGGTGTGGTTTGTTGGTGTCAAAAGAAGAATATGAACTCTGTTCTTAAATTTTTTGCTTGGTGGTTTCCTGAGGAACTGCACTTAAAAACTATTAGTAATAATATGATTGCAAAGTGATGTCCAAGAAAACCTGAAGTAACAATAACGAGATTCATTTTCATGGGAATGAAGCAACAGCATAGACTAGAGCAAGTATATATTAAAAAAAAAACTTTTAATGGTGATTTGGTGAACAATTACAGAACAATATTGGCTTTCCATTCAATAATTCTTACACATTTTCATTCATGACATTGATTGAAATCCACAATGTAACAGCACTCTACTCACTTTCTTCCTGTGCACAGTTTCCCTTTGTCCTTTTCTGTCCTTTTATGCGGTTTGACATTTGTTCCTAGTTAAGTGCTACTCTTTGGATTACATGTGGGAGACTGTTCTAAAGAGTGTGTATGTCCCTGGTACTGTTTTTCACCTTTTGGACTTACGTTATGTTCAGTTCCAGGCCTGATGGTGACTACGGGCCATGGTCGTAGGGATTGCACCAATCTCCATCAGATTGGTAAGCCTGGCCTTTTTTGTTTGCGTTTTATTAGATATTTTTCTCCCACTCTATCCAGGGCCTGCCTTTGTGATCCCTTTAAAAGCAGCCAGCAATAGTAGCCTGGCACCATCTTGGTCTTCTGGTCTGGTTTTACATGACCTTTAGACTATGGTAATTAGTCTTTAGACTACACTAATTATTTCCTTATATATTTGACTTTCTTCAATTTTCTTAGCTTCACATGAGGAAAGACCAATAGTTGAACCTTAAGTGGCTACTGATAAGCCTTTAAGACCCCCAGTCACTACTACCAGAATGTGGAACATTGTTTTTTTGATCTATGTTATGGCAATTAACCTTGGTGTCCTTCAAGGCTATGGTACTTAGGCCCCAAGCCCAGCCACTTATTCCATCAAGGTATTAGGTTCTAGCCAAGAAGTTTCATAACCTTGCACCCTGAATACTTCAGCATATTTATGGATATATTTGCACCACATAAATGTAGAAATATGTTTTGCTTAACAGTGCCGCTGAACTTTCTACCCTTGTTCAGCTTGAGTGTCTATTTATCCACTTGTAGATTATTATTATTACTGTTACAGCCATTGAGAGAACATGAAGGGAGGTGGTAGAATGCAGAAAGATATCCCTTTTTGCAGGGCCTACCCTCTCCCAAGTTAGTAGTAGGCTAAGATGCCAGCCACACCATAATGAGTCCCTCTAGGTACAGCAACTCGAGCCATCTAGCCCCACTAAATACTTGCTATTTTCAGAATTCCTCAAGCTGGAAATAACATCAGTCCTGGAACTGAACCTAACCTTAAGTCCAAAAGAACTAACCTGGCACTGACAAACATCTACATGGAAAACCAATATTGTTCTGCAATTTTCCCCCCAAATCACAATAAAAAGGTATATATATATATATATATAATATATATGTGTAAATTATATATATTGTATAATCTACAAGGAAAATCTAACTGAAACACATGCCTAGAAGCAGTGTAGTATTTGGAATTCTTATTTCTTGACCTCAAGTCTAAAGTTGAGAAATGGGCATGAGGTGATCTGGTAACACCTTTCTGGCACTTGGTACCAAACCCTAGAGTTAGATGGAAGAGGCCCTACATTGACTTGGAATGATGGGTGAGGAGCAGTGAGATGATGCAAGCATTGACCAGGTTTACACTGGAGCAGCAGCCTTAGAACCCCATTCAGTGTGTTGTTCAAGTCAAATGTATGCCTTTGGTCTTTTATAGTCAATTCTCTCATGCACTCTATTTAGTAACTACTTTCCTCCTATCAATTGTAGATAGAGGGAGTTCACCGGAGTCTTATTTCCTATGTAGTTCCACAAATGGATCTTGAGCTCCCACTGTCATCGATAGCCTTCTGTAAACCAGATTCTCACACTTTAGGCTCTAATACTAATCCTTCCTTCAACTTTGGATTATTACATATGCTATTTTATTTAATCTTCATAATAAGTCTACTATCCCTGTTTTTCAGATAAAAAAATTGAAGTTCAGAAAGATAAACGGTCTTGCCCAAAAGCCACAGAGCCAGGAAATTGTAAATCTGAGACTACATCTCAAGCTGTCTGCCAACAAATAACTTGCTCATTTCTTCATATCACACTGCCAGCATTCTAATCCTGAGGCCCTTCAACCTTCAAAGGCCCAAATCCCTCTGACCTTTTACTTGGGGTCTAGAATGTTCTGGCCTTCTTTTACAAAAGAAACGACTAAGGCTGTGGTAAGAATGTTCATTACACAACCTCACGGGGCTGTGGTATGTTTTCTATATTTATTATCTCACTCACTGTGACAGTCCCTGGCATAAAAGAATTTCCCCAAACCACTTTTCGATGGGTAAAATCTGAGCTCACAATTGTCAAAGTGCTGTTTATAGCACATAATCTCAGTGATGAAATACTGTGCTAACACTCTTCTCCAACGCAAACCTGCTAATTCATGGCCCAGAAGAAACAGAAGCTTCTGGGAGACCTTCTATGAAGGGACATATTCTTCATGGCATAAGGTCAAGGGGCCAAAGGCTTTGCAGAATCTCTGAGTGCTTGCCTCCCAGATTCTTGCAAAAAATAAAATCTGCAACCAGAAAACTCCCGTCTCTGGGCGAAATGCTTAACTCACATTATTCATATTAACCTTTGAAGAGCTCACGTGCAACAGCACCTGAGGTTGCTCAACTTACCTACATTACAGAAACGAGGGGACACAAAGAGAAAAAATTGAATGGGAAAAGTCTATAAAAAGAAGGATTTTTGTATAAAGAGGAGAAAAGGAAAATAAATCATAAAAGGGGGGGGATGGAAAAAATTCACATCAATATAAAGATGTCTTAAAAAAAAACAAAACAGCAAACCTAAGTTGGGAGCACCTAAAGCCTAGAAAATAAAGTGATTTATACAAAGTCCAAATGGGTGAGGAAGGGGAGATTGAAGATTGTCAAAATAAATAAGAGACAAAGGAAACACCTACAAATTAGAAGGGCAAAGAATAAAGAAAGGGAGCTTTGGTCATGGCTAAACCAAACTCATGGCCATTGAGTCAATTCTGACTCATTGCAACCCTGTAGGACAGAGTAGAACTGACCTTTGGGTTTCTGAGGCTATACATCTTTCCCAGAGCACAAAGTCACATATTTATCTCACAGAGCAGTGGGTAGATTTAAACTGTTGAGCAAAGCCTAGTACACTACACCACCAGGGTTCCTTAGAACCTGGGTAGGAGACAGTAATAATTATAATAATAATAGTTAGGGAAAAGTGTGAGAGGACCCACCAGGAGAGGAATGAGCAGGAAAACAGGGACTGCAAGCCAGGGGTAGGCAGCCAAGGAAAGAGGGGAGGAGAGTGAAGGCAGACACTCACCCTCACAAAGCTGGCAGGAAACCATCCCTCCTCATCGTCGATCTGGCCCCACCACCAATCCTTGTTGGAGGCATCCAAGACTTTGATGACGTCGCCAGCCTTAAATGCCAACTCCCGGTTGGCCATGGTGACGTGATCCCATACTGCCTCAGCACTAACGATGGAATCTCCAGTGATCAGCTTAGGAGACAAAATGAGAATGTGTTCAGTCCACACAGCTGACTACCTTGCTTATCCCTTCTTCCACCCACAGAGCTGTACTACTTATAGAAAAACGGATACGTAATAGTAATTAGGGATAAGGATAAGGAGGATGGCACTGAAGCACAAACTCCATTCAACCACAAAACAAACAATATTGCCAACGCTCCATTAGCCAGTGGGTAAAATAACCCAGTGAGTCAATGTGGATTACATAGGCCTATACTTTTATCTCTACTCATAAGGTCCTCCTCTGGGTAAGAGAGAAAGCTCTAGTCTATCTCTCTTTGGAGTACCAAAGCAGCCCTGAATCTGCCCAGGGTTGAGAGGCTGAAATCAATAGCGAAATTATGTTCAGGCTTGTTTGCTTTTAATTCTCTGTTCTCCTTTGCCCTTACACTCTCTTCCTTAAAACTGACCAATTAAGAGTTAGTGACACATTATTCACCCCATTGCACCCTTCCCTTTGTAGGACCAGAAAATGCTATTTTTCGCACAAAATAGACCTTGGTCCTGCAAGCTCCTGCTCTGACCCACACATGATGCCATCCAGAGAGGCCATGGTATGAAAGAAAACGACTTTCCGTTGTGCTTTGCACCTGAGGATATCATTCCTGACACAGATTGATTCAGTGATTTGTACAACTACCCTGAGAGATACACAGCAGATCTGGATTGTACAAATCACCTTTACCAAAACTAAGATGCTTTGGAGGAAGGCATCACAGAAAGGCATATTCTTTCATACCATGAACTCTCTGAGCTTGACTTTTACCTGATGTGTTGCGTTTTTTTCATTTATCAGACCCTTTAAAAACTGAGCTTTAAATAAATTAAAGGACAATTTCAGGTTCATCCAGTAAGGCAGGAACTGTAGCTGGACTCTTACCCTGTTCATTAGACTTTTTTACCAGCAGGATTGGGCTCCACACAGCAGTAGGCAGGGATCTATCCCACTGCCATATGTACATATGCACATTCACAACACTCATCTAAGACAATGATGAGATGGAGGAAGGGGTAGTCTGCCTTTCTCTGGCTACTTTGTTATTTGTTCTCTTTTTTCTCCAACTGGTTCCAACCTGGATGGGCCCATCAGTGTTCCTGACATCTGGAGAAAAAGGTTTCAGAATAGAGAACATACAACCTGTCAGGTAAACAGACTCAAGCACTGTCTTCAGCATTGCATTTTTAACAAAATCTCTGGAAGTCAGTTTTTCCATCCATCTGCTTTAAGAAAAGACTGATTCCCCAAAGCAGTCAAGGATCCACAAGACAAAAGACAAAACAGTTCAAAGACAACAGAGATGGATATGGAATATGCATCCTATGCCACAGGTCTATTCTCTAATACATCAGCTGAATTAACAATTTATCACACACACGAACATGTACCCACTATAATCTCTTGACTTGATTAAGGTATTGCATTGATTAGGCACTATTTGAGACATTCTCTGTTGCTCAGACTTCTAGTCACTAACCTTCCACAGAAGTTTGAAAACATAGGAAGAGAGCTGATCAGCATAAACAACAATAAAAAGAGATTTCCAGTAGGATCTTTTATAACATTACATCTCAATTACCACATGCTTTACTGTTTGCAAAGTATCTACATTTACTGCATCACTTTACCCTCATTGAATAAACTTGTGATCTCAAGGGCTCAATAGAAAGTAAATGACTAGAAAAGAACGATGGCAATATATGTACAAACTGTGGGATACAATTGATATATGGACTGCAACAAGAGTTGTAAGATCCCCACCCCCATAAAATGATCTTTTAATATATTAAAAACATTGAAGAAGCCAAGCCTCAGAGGGATGACTGGGCCTTCTGACAGTCATATAATTAATAAAATATAGAGTCAAGTTTTCTGACTTCATGCATTCTTATAGTTATATTATTACACTATCGAGGTCTACTCTTTAACTATACTGAATTTATAGACCGCCATCTACATTGAATTTAGATAAGTCCATCATAAGGAATCTCAAGAAGAAAATGTGGCCCAGGCTATTTTTATGCTGAATTTGCTTTCTCTAACTGCACCAGAAGGCAATCTTTTCTTAAAAACCAAGTGAAAAAAAATTGCTGGTTAGTGGCTACAATAAAATGAATCTTTGTACATTACTTTTCCTTCTTGCCCAACCTAGGTCCTAGGTGAACATTGCTAGAGCTCAATAAGCACCTAGCCCCAACCCGGAGTACCAGAAGGACTTGTGGTTACATCCTAGGCTTTTTTTATCAAGGATCAAAATCTTTGTCATATTCTGTACATGAAAAGAACATAGGGATGCTGCCGTTTTGACTCTCCTTGGACTGAGTTCTGGCTAATTTCACTGCTTGAGCTTTTTTCCTGCTATGCTGTCTTCTTTTTAAGGACTCCACATTTGGCTTATTTTCACAAATGCTGGCTCACTCTCACTACCATTCAAGTCAGCAGGTATACTTTGGGGATCAGGCCACAGAGCCAAACACTAGAAACATATACCTTGAACAGAATTAATTCAGAACTCAGTGGCCACAAAACAATTAATTAATTGGCTAGGAATAACTTTGGAATTAATGACTTGGAGAACTAGACAGCATTTCAAAGCACATCACTCTTAACGCCTCATTTGACAGGTCAGATATATAGCAAGAGTGATATCTGGCTATATAAGATTGCCAGACTCTTGGAGCAGTGCTCACCACCCCTCACCCCCCACCCCCATCAATATAACCCAATAGAAAAGGAAGGTAGAAAAGATTTAGATTGAAGATCTTATCTCAACTGCTTGCTGAAAGTGTACCTATGATAATGACAGTGTTTAATATATAAGCACTACTATGTGCCAGGCAAAGAATCTTGGTAGTGCTATAGTTAAGTGTTGGGCTCCCAAACACAAGGTCAGTGATTCAAACTCACCAGCCATTCTGCCGGGAAAAAAAATGAGTCTATCTATTCCCATAAAAATGTACTGCCTTGGAAACCTTAGGGAGTAGTTCTACTCTCCCCCATATAAGGTTGCTATGAGTCAGAATCGACTATATGGCAGTAGGTTGGGTTATTCTAAGCACTTTATATGCATTAACTTATTTAATCTTCACAGAAGTCCTTTGAGTACACACTATTATCACTTTTATTTTATAGATCAGAAAACTGAACCCCAGAGTAGCTATATAATTTGCCAAGGAGAAACATAATAAGTGTTTAAGCATAATAAGTATTTAAACTAGTGAGCAAATGGAAGTTTGAAGCCTAAAGCTGATCTCTGTTTATAGAGATGAGACGTGTTCAAAGCTGACTTGTAGTGACCATTGGGACATTCTGGGAGCAAGAAAAATAAGAATAAAAAAGATAAAGAAGAAAGGAAAAGAAGGAAGGGGGTAGGAGTGAGGGAAAACCAAAAAGAAACCAGTTGCCAATAAGTCAATTTTGACTTCTGGTAGCCCATACATTTCAAAGTATAACAGAGTTTGGTAGAGTTCTTCAGCTTCTGATTGTTCAGAAATATATCACCATGCCTTTGTTCTGAGGTACTTCTACATGAATTTGAACCACCAACCTTTCATTTAGTAGCTGAATGCTTAACCATTTGTATTACACATGGACACCAAGGAGAGAAGGACTTAAACTTATTTGTTAAATATATGTCAAGATTTGTATAAGGGGGTTTCTCCTATTATCCCAATCTTTACAATACTCATTCCTACTTTAACTGAAAATAACCTGTGGTATTGATCATCCAGTTGGTAAATGGTGCAATGGATATGAATATGCAGTCTATTTTACTCTAAAGCTTCGTCTTCTTTTTTTTTGTCTTGCCAATCCTCCACACCGTTTGTCAAAAAGGCAAAAAGAGAAAAAGGACACCCAACTAATTTCTACATTCCAAATATGAACCAACTTTGCAAAACTCTTAAGAGCAGCGGACATCAATCCCATGGAACCTGCAACCATCGAGGCAATCCTGACATAGAAACCTAAGATAGGGTTTCCAAGGCTGTAAATCTTTACAGGAGCAGAGTCGCCTTTTTCTCCCTCAGAGTAGCTGTGGGTTTGAACAGCCAGCCTTAAGGTTAGCAAGCAGTTCAAAGCTTACCCAACAGTGCTAGCAGGGCTCAAACTCAAACCCAAGGAGATTTTGTTAAAGTAGATTGTTGGGCTCCACGTTTAGTGTCTTTGATTCAGTGGGTCTGGGGTGGGGCTTGAGAGTTTGCATTTTAAACATGTTCCCATATGATACTCACATTGCTGGTCCAACAATACTTGAAAAATCACTATCCTAGAGGATCTTTGTAGTCTAGGTTCCACCCTTGCCTTTCTTGGTTATGTGAGTGCTCAGAAACTAACCAAGACGTTAGTGATTCAAACCCACCAGTCACTCCTTGAAAAAAATGACTTGGCGGTCTGCTTCTATAAAGATTACCATCTAGGAAACCCTGTGGGCAGTTCTACTCTGTCCTTTAGGCTCATCACAAGTTGTAATCAACTTGATGACCTACAACAATAAGAAGTCTAGGTCTTATCCTTGCCTCTCCTGATGCTTCAGTCTACTCCAGTATCCATGTGCCATCACAGGATGGCTGAGAATCAGGCCTCTATCACTGAATGCCTGTCTTCAAGGCTCTCTTTGGTGTATGTCTGAGTAAGGGTATTTGGGGTCACAACACAAAACAACTTTAAGATCACACCCCGTTTTTTCAGGGCCATCCCATTTGCCCTACTCTTCTTACTCTTGCCCTCTAGCTGAACATTATTATCCAAAATAGATATTTCATTAGCCCTGATGGCTACCAGAAATATTAGTTTTAGTAGCAAGAAGCAGAAGGGGAATGGATTTTTTTGAAAGGATGCATCATGTATTGTGCAGAATGGCAAAAATGCCAAATGCCATGAAGGTAGTTGAGCTGTGCATGCTTTCCAAAAAATTTTACAGGAGGACAAGGAGTAGGAAAAGAGTATTTGACTCTCTCTGAGGTTTCAGTTTGGTGCTTTCATACATCCATGCAGAAAGTCCTCTCTGTCATCAGCAAACTTAAACAAGTACAAATCCTTTTTTCTCTTTCACACATAAAAAACAGGCTAAAATTGTATGCCCCATGAGATCACTCAGCACTCTCTTGTATAAGCCAGATGTGCCTTTTCCCTCCAATGTCCAAGGACAAATATTCTGCTCATTTCTAGAAAGCTATACCAATAACAGCTAAAACTCACCTTGGTATACAGCAAACACTCATATTGGCTATTGGAAGAAGCTCTGTCAATAATTCTATGTATGATTTTGGGCAAGTTCCTTTCCTTATGTCCATCTCACTTTCCTTACCTATCTAGTAATTAACTTAATATAGTTAGATTCTCACATTCTTTCCCTCTCTGACATTCTATTGAGGATAACACTTTAGATTAGCATAGGATTGGAATTTCATTAATACATCTTATTTCTCCTCTTCTTTGTGTATGATGTGTTGTTTTTACAACTCTCTACCTCAGGAAAGTGAGAACTTGGAGTTGACGTACCCTCTTGAAGATAATTCCCTCATCCATTGTTGACAACACATTGAAGAAGACACGTCAGACCTGAGGAATGGGCTTTTCACTTTACTTCTTGACTGCTCATTCAAAAAGCAATGGGAGCTTTGTGCTTTGCTTGCACCATTGAGGATTTCAGATAAATCATCTTTCTTGTAATAACAGGTCTCACCTGCCTCTAGTACCATATTTCCAATAGCCTGCTCCACATTTCACTGGGTGGCCTGCTATCTCTCCAATAGAACATTGTAAACTCATAATTTGTCCTCATTACCATCCTCTCTAATGTTTTCCATTTCTGATAATGCCTCTACTATCAATATTTTCCTTACTGAATCCCTCAAGACTTCTTTATTGGTACCACTCATCATGGTCAAGAAGCTTCAAAAACTACTTATCATTATTCTTACAAGGCACTCTTTAATCTAGGACCACTACTGGACCCAATCCATGATTTGAACTAGGCAGGGGTCTCCTACTCTAATCAGATTGATCTTCTTGCAAGAAGATCCTCTCTCACATCTATACCCATAAGTATAGGGGCACTGAAGTCAAGTTGCCTCTTTCTAACTGTGATTTTGGTCCACTTG